CAAACCAAGTTCACGGTAGGGCACAGATTCCCTTGGTTTGATTCACTAGAATGCACTATAGGAAATGGTCAATGATATTTGCAATTTCTCTGATGTGGACACTCATCCCTTTCTTCCTTCAACCTCTGTGGACTCTTTCTCAGGAGCTTGTATGTAGAAATAGACATCTGGCTTATGTAGCTTTCCCTAACCATAAGCCAAGTTCTTCTATCTTGGTTATTCTGTTCAACTGGCTGGATAACGTATCTATAATTCATATCTCCTCTGACCAGTATGAAGTCTGATAAATGCTCTCCATTTGATAGGCACATCTGGATTACAGATGTTGGATTCTGGATTCTGCAGACTTTCTCTTACTCTCAGAGCCTTTTGGAGAGGAATTCCTTTGGGCTAGAGTTCTGGTTTTTCTCTAGGAGTGGTGAGGAGACTGAGTCAGTTTTGAAATTTGAGCAGAATTATTCACAGATTAGTAGTATTTACTTTAGTAATCTATCTATTGGTCTTTTCCCCACTTGCCACTACCCACAACTGAACAGTGAGCCCCTGTTTGGAAGGACTTCATTGCATGGTGCACTCTAGTTGCTCCATAAATATCAGGCAAAGCATTTGTTGGAGTTGGAGCCCTTCAGAGTCACAGTCTAATGGAATTGTGACCCTGAACTCTGTGATTTAATTGAAATAATATGAATGCCATAGGAGGGCAATTTAGTTCAGCAATGACCACTAGCTCCAATTCACAGGTTCTCAGAGGCACCCACAGGTTTATGTCTCTGTGAACCCAAAGTTCTTTGAAACAGTTAAAGCCATAGCACAGAAAAGCAAACACCATGTTCTGCCTCAGGCTAGACTTAAATCTAGAAAATATAGATTAAATTCTTAAATTTCCCCACAAATTTATTAGCACTTATCATTTATATTATTCTATTTATCCTTCTGCTTAGCTTGCCATATCTGATTTGTAAAGAAACTACTATTATTTCAAATTAGAGCTATAAAATGGATATTAATTATAAAATTTAAGCACAAAGAATATAAAGCAGAATATATGACCAAAAAAACTCTATACATGAAACAAATATGAGTTGAGACAGAAAAACCTCACTCCTCTACTGTGTTTCTGCCTTCAGACTTCTGTCAAAAGTGGAAATTCAGAAATAATTATTGTTTTAGACCCTTGTAAATAAAAAGTAAAAAGTGTGTGTTGTAAATAAGCACTAGACATTTGAGGAAATTTACCATCATAAAAGATGGATGGGAAAGTTTTAAATTATTGTGTTTATTCTCAAAATTACTACATCCTTATGATAAAAAGATTAGTAATGAAAAATAAAACAATAAAAATGTCTTTGAATATGTCAATAAATAAATAAATAATTTGAAACTATAAGGAAATCTAAAATGAAAGAACAAAATAATAAAAAAGATAAAACATACAGGAATAAAGTAGATAAAAAGAGGAAATAATTTCAGAAGATACATTTCCAGGTATCTTGGGAAGAGAAAAAAGAGAGCAGAGAAAGTGAATAAAGAAATATCAGAGCAATAACTTAAGAAAATTTTCTAGAGAAAGGGACCAAGAATGCTCAAATTGAAAGGCTCCACAGTAAATAATAAACAACTAAAAATGCCAGTCCTAAGAAAAATTTTCATAAAATCCCTAAAGTAATAACCTTAGGATAATATTTTAAATGATTTTGAAAAAAATAGATGATGGATAGATAGATAGATAGATAATTATCAGAATAGAAGCTAGACAGAATTAATAATTTTCTTCAAAATTTTAAACAAAGTCAAATTATCAGTTTTGTGTAAAGATAGAATAAAAACATTCCAAAAAGTCATTATCAGAAAAAAAGCTGCCTAAAACATCTTTTCTTAAAAGTTACTTAAGGGTGTTTTCCAGTGAAATGATAATAAAATAAGAGATATTCATGTAGTTCAGGACACAGTGACTCTAATCCAAAAAGCAATGAGATTTCAGGTGACAACTGTGTAACAGACCTAAATATAATGTTGGACAAGGAGACTAGAATGAACCAAAACAGAGGTGTGTGAGAAAGGAAGGCCTAAAGATACAATCTATATATGAAGATATCAAAAAAGAACAAAAGGAGGGAGGCAAAGAAGATAGGAAAGAAGGAAGGTCAAGAGAAAATGCATATTCAAGTGATAGGGTAGGGGACAGAAAGAGTCAAGAATGAAAATAAAACAATGGAATAATATTTAGTTCTACAATAAGTAATGTTTCATGGTCATAGTGTTATAAATATACATGCCAGTGTCCCTCATATTCATGTGTTCTGCATCTGTGAATTTAAACCATATTGGGAGTCGTGGCCCAGGAGAACCAAGAAGCCAACCCATGGCCTTCTGTGAACAACCAAGCAGGCCTGAAGGGGAAGCAAGAAGCTAAGCCGCACTCTCCCATGAGCCAGAGGCAGTGAAGGCCAGAGAAGAGAACCAAGAAGCCAAGCCACACCCTCCCATGAGCCAGCCAGCACACAGCTCAAGAGGCAAGAAGAGTGCTCTCCCCTCAACTCCCTGATTCAGAGGAACACAGGCTGAAATGACAGCAAGTGAAGTAAAAAAAAAAAAAAAAACCTTCAATGCTTGTATTGTCTGATTCATTTTGCAGCCCTAAAGCTTGTAGTCTGAGCATCTATTCAGAAGATAACAATAGGCAATACAGCAACTAAGGGGGGTTTCCTTCTGTCTTGTTTTTGAAATCCAATATTGTTCCCACTGTTTTTTGTTCCATTTTGTTAGGTTTTTTTTTTATCTTTTAAAATAAATAATAAAAGACACTGTTGGATCAAAAATAGTCAGGAAAAGTTGCATCTGTATTGAACGTGTACAGGATTTGTGCTTGTCATTATTCCTATAATATATTTACATTGCATTCAGTTTTATGAGTAATCTAGAAATGATTTAAAGCTTGCAGGAAAGTGCATGTAGATCATTTTCAAGTCCTACACCTTGTATACAAGGACCTTGAGCATCTGCAAATTCTAATACTTTGAGAGATGCTGGAACCAGTTTTAGGGATTACAAGAAACAACTATAACTAAAAATAGTAAGATAAATACAAAAGGTAAAATAACTGTGTTGGAAAGTTGAAAAGTGAATGATAAATATATGATTGTCAGCCCCATCTATATTATAAGAGCAAATTAATGGGCAATATTTAAAATTGATGGCTCAAGCAACATATATATATATATATATATATATATATATATATATAGAGAGAGAGAGAGAGAGAGAGAGAGACAGAGAGAGAGAGACAGAGAGAGAGAGAGAGACAGAGAGAGAGAGAGAGAGAGAGACAGAGAGACAGAGAGACAGAGAGAGATAATTACCAGAAAAGCTAGGTGAAAAAACTAAATATAGTTGCTTATAGGTAGCAAGGATAGAGAATGGAGAAAAATGGGGAAGAATTAGGCCAGAGAGTATTGTTCTCCCTTACGTATTTTGTTAGGATCTGGTACTTTTAACTTTGAGAATTTATTACTCTGATTTAAATTTTTAACACTCCACATCACATATATCCGGGCTGGGGTGCAGCTTAGTGGAAGAGCATGTGCTTAGCATGTATGCAGCCTTGACTTCCATCTCCCAAAAAGAAAAAACAGCTGTGTAAGTATTTCCTACAATTCCACAGAATGAATATTATACACAGGGAAAAGCAGAGTGCCTGTGGGTAGAGGTTCACAGCACTTCTGAATCTATAGATAGGACAGTGTGAATTCTACGGCATCTCTGAGGCAGTGAGAGAAGTAAGTGTTAAACATTATGATAAGGACCAACCAGCAGTTTAGAAGAATAAAGAGCCACTGTACAAATGATGCCTGGGTACCTTGAAAGACTGCTGCTGTGGTTTAGATGAATGTGCCCCAAAGGATCATATGTTAAAGGTTGGATCCCCACTGTGGTACAATTGGGAGTCACTGGAAGCTTCACACGGGACAGGAGGACCTAAGGTCACTGGGGACATGGCCTCCAAAGCAATCATGGGACCCTAGTCTCTTCCTCTTATTTTAGTTTTCTGGCTCGCAAGGTGAGCAGTTTGCTTAACTACGTACTGCTACCACGATGAGCTGCTTTGTCCAAGACCCAAGGCAATGCAGCCACCTAATCTAATACTCGGCATACAGAATAGTAAGCCAACATAACCTTTTTTCTTTACAAGACAATTATCTCACACGTATTTCATTCTAGTAAGAGAAAGCTGACTGATCCAATGATCTTCTTAGTCAGGGTCATGGGTTGATATAACAGTGAGATTGGATACAAATGGAAATGTTTCTAACTTTAATTTAGAACTATTTTATTCCTTGTAAAATTTAGAGTTACCAAATGTTTTCCTGTACCTTATTTCACTTGATTTACAAAACAACCCTAAGATTTAGATAAGATGAAATATTACTTCACTCACCCACATTATACAAGAAAGATATCTGAGTTTCAGAAAGTGACACTTGTAACTTACAAACCTCATGTAGTAGACCTGTCTGAGGATTTGTATTTCGGTATTGAGACCCTCTGTCTACAGGAAGGACAGTCACAGGTACGTGGGATGGATGACTTTCTCCCACTATTTATCATGCTTATTCTCCTTGAGATTTCTTGGTCCTCTCTGATGAAGGTGTCTAGCTTTGTTGGGCATAAGATCCCTGGAGAGCTGGTCAGGGACCAGACTACAGGAGGTCTGAGAACTAGGTCAAGAATCCAGGCGCCTCACACACTGCACATTGTGGTGTACCCTGCACAGTGTGATTGGTTCTCTGCTGTGCCTCTCTTGGTGACCTTGCGTTCCTAGTTAGCTAACACTACACCTAAAACCTCATAAAAGCCTGATAAGTAAGCCCTGTTGAGATCTGAAAGAGTGTTTTATTGTGGGTCTGTGTGAACCCTTTTTTCCCCTCTTGAAGGCAAAAAAAGATAAAGCAACGTTAGAAACGTACCCTACAAGTAAGACATCGTAATTCCCAATTTCTTACCTCTTGGGCGAGTCTGGATCAAAGCAGGTCTTGCGCACATCTGTCACCTCGGGATCACAGCAGTCCCCCTCATCGAAGTCATTCAGCATGTTGTTGCACGCGGCGTGGCAGATCCCGTCCCTGCGGTTCCAGGAGTAGCAGCGGCCCTGCAATCGGCAGTCACCCCCGTCATAGCCTGTGAGCGGGTGCTCACACTCGGGGTCACAGTGGTCATTGCCAACCTTGCTGGGCTCACAGTTCACAAGCACAACCCGGTGGCGCAGGGTGGAGTTGAGGACCCGGTGGACGCTCAGCTGCCAGCTGATGTTGTAGCGGCTGAAGGCCTCGTTGAGGGCCTCATGCTGCTGCTGGATCTGCGCCTCGCTCACCATGGGATGCAAGCCCTGGTCGTCACAGACATTCACCACCTGGTAGCGGATCACCTTCTCTCCCCGCAGGGGCCAGTGCCCATTGTACTGAGAGATCAGCTCCACGTTGTCACAAACCGTCTGCCCACAAAGCGGGGGCTGCAAGGGTGACAGAATCTCAGGCTGTGGCCCGGAGCCCTGAAGAACCTCAAGCCGGGGATAGTTCTCATCCCTGAAAGGTGTCCACTGTTCCTTCAAAGGATCAAAATTGGCTGTCAGGACCAAGATGGCCAACTCCTCTGGCCCGCTTTCATGCTGAGGACTGTGCTGAAGGTGGCTTTGTGAGAGGGCAGTGGACCAGATGACCAGTGTGCCCAGGTGTCCACGGAAATAGTGCCCATTCTCAGAGCTATCCCCACCCAAGAGCAAGGAGCGGCAAGATGCCATGAAAGGACTGTTCAGGGGACCCGACTGGCCCGGACTGTTAGCCACCTGAGTGCCATCCACATACAGGGCCATGCGCTGTCCATCATAAGTGGCTGCCACATGTGTCCACGTGCCTGGTTGGTAGCGACTGTGGCCAGTCACAGTGGTGGCTTTCTTCATGCGGTCGGTGCGGAGGGAGAAAAAGAAGCGAGCATCTTGCCTTCCCTTGTCCTTCCCTGAGTGGATGCCCAGGGCCCAGCCCTTGTCATTGACTGTGTGGGAGCAGTTATCAAACACACCTGGGAAAGAAGGAAGAATCCAGCGAGAAATACCAGATACAAAGAGAAACGGAGAAAGGGAAAAGAAAGCCTGTGTAAATAAGCGTTTAGTGGGAAACAAATGAGTGACACCGATTCCTCACCTAGGATCCCTGTTTATGCTCCCGTGCTAGACCATTTGGCAACTCACATCCCCCAAAAAGAATCTAACTTGAGATTCTACCCAGCTTTGCTTATTTGTTTTGATTTTTGTTCTTTCCAGTACAGGGAATTGAACTCAGGGCCTTCCCAGTGAGCTGCATTCCCAGCCGCTTTTGTATTTTTTACTTTGACATAGGGTTTTCCTAAGTCACTAAGTTCCCCAGACTGGGCTTGAGCTCGTTTCCGCCTACCTTCACCTCCCAGGGGTTGTAAGAATGCACTATGGTGCCCTGCTCATTCTGGCATTTTTAAATCACTGAAATGGAAGTTGGAATGCAGATATTAAATGCAATGTGCATCCATCCTTTAATATTTCATCAGGAATGTTTCCATGCTTGCTGACTTCCAGGCCCTACATTGCCTCACTGATTCTTGCTTCTTTCTGTTTCCTCCGAGGTTATAAAGGTGAACAGCATACATTTTACAAATGATAGTGATCTCCTAACCCTATCAGGCATTTCCCCATTGAACATTACAATGCTGGCAAATAAGGAGTTGGCACATCAAAGAATCTGTCAGAGAAGACTGTGACATCCACACATTATTCCACTGTTCTCTCTATTACCTTCCCCTGGTCATGGAGAACAGTTGTCATCCACAGAACAGAGCTGTTTTGCACAAAAAGTAAAATGGCATTGTCCATGGTCTGGCCTCAAAACCCACTGAGTTAGTTAGGACCATGATTGCTGTAAACTCTGCAACATTCAACCTAGTACTCAGGCTGAACTTTCCACATAAATGAAGGACCCTGCTTTTCACAGCCTCACTATCATTCTCAGAGCAAGCACAACGCTATGAAATCCACTTTCATAAATAGTGGAGGCCACCTTTGGTCAGTGGAGTCATCAATAAATCATCAGCAGGAAAGAGAGCTAAGGACAGAAGTGGAAGGTCCACAGCAGAAAGGAAACCATGGGTTTGCAGACCTTGAATGCTCCCAACAAACAGTTTTTGATTAACTTACAGTCTCCTCCTGAGTGCCTCTTCCAGTACACAGAGGGTCAGCAGCTGTTCTTACTAGTAAATTACATGAAGGTAATACATTTATGCAGAAGTGCATAATAAATAGTTCTTAAACCGATGAATGAATGGTGGAGAAGTCTGCTACTCTTAGGTTCAGTTGCCAGGATTAACATGGAGTCACTCTTCCCCAGTCTGTTAAACAAGCACTTTACCTATAATCCAGGCTATAGTACTCATCTATGGAGAGTCCAAATTCATAAGCCCTGAGGCTTCCCATTCTGATGTTAGGCAAATGTTTTAAAAGTACCTATGTTTTCATAAATGATAGAATATCTTCTGTTGTTTCTAATATAAATTAATAACTTATGACATAAAAATAAAATTTATTTTTAACAAAAACATCTCCTATTTGGTCCAATAATTCTAACAATTATACTTTGAAGAATTGACTTTGACTAGCTGTGAAAGAGTAGGCATGTTCCAGTTTGGGAGTTTGTTTTCTGGTTATTTACTGAAGTTTTCCTGTAAAATAACTTTAAGAAATGCTGCTTTAAACTGCATGGAAAGTACTTCATAGACTCAACACCTGGGATTTTTTTTGTTTTTTGTACCAGGGATCAAACTCATGACCTCGCACTTGCCAGGCAGGCCCTTGTGCCACTGAGCCAAACCCTCGGCCCCGTATCCTTGTTTTAAAATAAAAATAAGCATTTTTGCATTAGGTGGATTTTCACAGAAGAAGATGGACCTACTCAGATCAACACTAACTTTCCTGAGTCGTATTTTTATCTTGATTTATATATTTTAGCAGACACTTTAAAGTCTTAATTTGGTCATCTGCTGATCTGTGAACAAATACAATACATTTAATATGAAAGCCAGGGATTTACTAATCTGTAACCTAAAAGCTGTTTTTTAAGAGAAATAATTTGAAAGTCTACTATATTTGTTGCCTAAACTGTGTGTATATGAATTGGGGGTTAAATTACTAAACTTGACATATAAATTACCAAATAATTAAAATAGATTACTTGCTAAGTGTCTAGTTACAGTTTTAAACACTGTAATTTACCATCCTTAGAACTTATACTTGCTTATCAAAAAAATAATTATTTCCACTTGTCTCATATGAAGCTATAAATCTAGCAATAATGTTGTAAATTTGCAGTATTTGCCAGTTTCCCACAAAGACCAACTTCAGTTACCAATGTGATCTCACTGCACGTGGAGTGGTGAAGAGAAGGGCAGGACAGGCTCTGGTGAACCAGCACTGGAGGAGGAAGGGGAAAGCAGATACAAGCTACTCAGTGTCACTTTTCATTCTCACTAAGGAGGATGTGGCTACTTTGCTGATGATACCATCTCTACTCTGACTTTTGAACTTGAAGACTCAACTAGCAATTGTATGTGTAGATTATATCTGTCTTCCCTGGCTGTACTCCTTAGCACCTTTTAACTGCAAGCTAGGATGGCAGGTCATCGTACCTCTTCCCACAATCCCTCAGGAACCACCTCAGCCCTGCTTGCTTGATTCCATGAATCAGAAACAAGATGAATTTTGCTGTAAAAGAAAGGCTATGGAATCACACATTGGAAAGACTTTTCTTTTTTCTCAGTCTAGCATAGAAAAGGCTGGCAGAATCAACACAGTCTAAGCCAACACAATATATGTGGTGAAACTCTGAGCTTGTGCAATGTTGAGATTTTATAACTTTGGATGTACATGTGATAAAAGAAAACATGTTATAACTATTGCTTATTCATCAAAGCCACATTCTTGGGAAGAACAGAGGGACCAGATCATGAAGATGATTTATGAACTCACTCAACACCAAACTGAACTACAATAGCCCATGGTTAGAAAAATCAGATCAAATGATGTAACTCAAAAGATGGTGGTGTTTAAGCCAAACATTCGGGCCACATTGCCTAAAATTTTAAGGGTAATTTTTTCAGTTATTGCTTACAACTACTTTCTGTTATAAATCAATGCTTATTAAATTTGAGCTTGAACACCTTATTTCATATTAAAATTGAGCTTAGAAGGAAAAGAAGCATAACTTATTCATTGTATTGCTGTTTCCAGCTCAAAATGTTCTATCATGGTGTCTTAGTAAAGAAGTATAGTCATGTGTATCTTCAATAAAAATCACTGGTTCTCAGTTGTCTTATCAATTAGCATCATTTGGAATTAATAGAGTCAATTTTCATCAAAGAAAACGTTTTTTTCTCTGGAATGCAGCCTCTCAAAGTGATTATGAAAATTCTAATAAAGTATGAACCAATAACTGAAGAGTTACAAGTGTCTAGATGAAAATATTAAGTGTGGTCCCTGAATAGGAATAATTTTGCTCCTTTCTGTTTCTTGAGTTATTTCTTTACACTCAGAAGATCTGGTTATTCCAAGAAGTAAGAGAATTGGGTTATCTTTTATTAAATGTCTTCTATGCCCCAACAATTGATCATGAACCAGCCTTATTAAATCATATATGCATACCAATGTATGAACTGCATTTTAATATCCTCTCTTACAGACCTCCCAAAATTGAGTATCAGAAAATTGAGCAAGTGATTCACCATCTTGCATCCAGTCAATATCAGAAATGAGGATCAAAACCAAGCCTATTCAACCAAAAAAAAAGTTCATGTTCTTTCTAGGACACCAAGATATTTCAAATAAAATTAAAATTTACAAAGTTGTTAGTTTTTATTTAGGAATGAGAGAAGCGCCATGGACTGGTGAGTGCATCATTAATGAATTTTCAGATTTTGTCACCGTTACTTCTTGACAACAGGGATCTGACCCCTCCCCCAAAATATGCAGATACCCACAGGTGGAAATTCTTTGGAGGAGGGAACATAGTGGCTGGCACAACTGTTTACATCTTCTTGTTGACCAGAGCCTAAAACAACAATCTTCCTTGCACCATGTTTGAAAGAATATCTGGGAAGTCACAACGGGGTCTTCTGTGATGTACTATGAACAATAAATGATTCTAGAAGACCTAAAGGCAAAGGGGAGACTTGTTATTCTGAAGCCAAGACTATGGCTGACTGATGTGAGATACATATAACTTAAAACTTGCTCCAAGCCAATGACTTCCATCTCTGTTTTCTCTTTCTTCTTGGTTTCCCCAAGGAATGTAGCTGGTGAAAAAAGAATCTGTGCTTAAAGAGAATGCAATTCAATAAGAGAAGTGACATGATCCACTTAAGACCCTCTCCTGTCTCTAAGCTGCTCAATGGTCAACCTACCTCTTTCTCTACCAAAAATCTCCTCATGTCCATAGTTGAACCTTCTGTCACATGACTTTGATAGAAAGGAGTCCTCTGACCACAAGGCCAGATAGATAGAGGAAGTAGTATGTCCACAGTGCTCCTGATACTGTAATGAGCAGACACTTGTCATCCACCTAAGACATGAAAGGCAAATCTTTCAGAGCTTCCAATGCTAACAAACAGTCAGCTTCAACATACGCGTCACTTAAGAGTTGAAACAGTCAACAAAGAAAGGGAGTTAAAAACTCTTCGTGAAATCTTGGGAGTCTACTCTCTTTGCATTCTTATTTCAGGGTAATGACGAAGAGGAGAAGGTGCCAGCTCATACTTTTTTTGTCCTCATATCAAAGGAGAATCTATTTCAGCAAGAGTACACCAATGTTCCAACAAATGGAAAGGCCAAAGGTACCCTATCGAAGGATATACACAGGCTGAGACTCCAGTATCTTATACTTTCCTACTCCAACTCCTCCTATGTGTTCCACATGTCATCTTCCTAACACTGACATGCCCAGTACAAATCCAGCCTCACCAGTGAGACATCTGCCACACTGTCTCCTATGTAGAGGTATAGGCTT